CTCTCAAGTACCTAATTAGTTATATTTTTCATTGTTAATTAAACATACTGTGAGCACATGATTTTTGCTCGATATGAATTACTCCCATAAATTCAAAACAAAATAATTTCTTTCAGTGTTTGCAATTTTGTGGATTTTCGTGGCATTTTCTGTTAATTGTTTGCATTTTGTTTGTGCATTTTAGTGAAAAATACAAACAAATATGTTGAATTTACATTTAGGATTTAATTCTACATTTTAGGATTAATTAATAAATTAGTTATTTTATAAAAATGGGAAAAATCACAAAAATAGTTTATTTTGCACTTTTTAATTTTAATCTCGAATTTTGGTAATTTTTCCTTGAATTTGGTTTTTAATTAGTTGTGGTAATTATTTAGAGTTAGTTAATTTAATTTGATAGGATAATTTGGTTTGGGATTTAATTTAGTTTTTTTTTTAAATTTTAATTTTGAAAAAAAAGAAAAAGAAAATTTGAAATTGAAAAAAAAAAGAGAAAAAAGATTTTGAAACAAGAGAATTTGAATTTTGGGCTTATCAATTGAATTTCCCCCCAGGCCCAAACAATATTCCACTAATACTCGACCCAAACCCGTTACTGCACCCAGTCCAAGCCAGCCTGACCAAACGACGTAGTATGGGGGAGTTACTACGTCGTTTCGAGTTCACCAGTGTCGAATTAATCCTGGCCCTCCATCCCCGGCTCATCCAACGGTTGGGAAGTGGGGTCGTTTGAGTATTTAAATATCTGAACAGCCCCTACCCCTCACTCATCTTCCCTCTCTCACCTCTCAGAGCCCCATTATCCCTGATAAACCCTAGCGATGACGCCCTAATTCCCACCGCCTTAGCCCGCAGCGACAATGCCATGCACCACCAAAATAACACCCCTGAACCCCTGTCTCACCCTCATTCCAGAAATTCACTCCGTTTCCTTCGAATATTAGTTAAGCTCCTCGAATCTGGATTTGAAAGGACAACCTTAAAAGTCCAAAGGTCAGAATCGGCGAGGGTTAAAAGATTTTAGGCCTAAATCGATGTTACTCGTATGTTCTTGATATTAAGAATCTACGATTAACTTCGGATCAGGCCAGAATCGATGAGTTGAGGGCTGTTCCTTAGGCCCTTTTGTCCGGGTCCTCTCGGGCATGTCTCTTTTCTTCTCCTCAGTTCTTTTCCTTCTCTACTCCTTCATTTCTTCTATTATTTATTGTCCCGTTAGGTCTTTTGTGCTCGTTTATGAGTTGTTTATTATGCATGTTATTTTAAAATATTAGGTTACTTAGCTTGATTAATTAGGTTGGTTTTATCTGGTAATTTCTTTAATTTTAGCCCAGTACTTGATTTCTGTTTTTGAAGTTGTTCAGACTTGTCTCTGTTATGAGCATTTGTATCAATCAATTCGACTTGGTTTGGGTTTTGGTTTATGCCTCTGATCTTTTGATTTACTGGTTTGGGCCGAACCTGAATTAATTCAATTAGGTCGAATCGACCCATGCTCTGTCCAGTTTCTTCAGGTAATAACATGGTCATTAAGGGGTAATTTGGGTAGTCTAGGCTTGGGAATCTCTTTGTAACTGACTGGGGAAGCTTCTAGGAAGCTGGGATGGGGGCTAATTGGTAAATCTGATTTTTAAACTAAGGTTTCCTGAGCAAAAATAAAAATGTAAAAAGGGTTGAAGTGTAAAAATTGACTCCTAAAGTCTGCCCTAGTAGCTTGCCTATAAAGGCATCCAAAACTTGCCATTCAAGGCAGAAAAAAAGACCCAAGAGCTGAAGAGATAAGAACTCCCAGAAAAACAAAAAACGGCTAAAAAAAACTGGAGGAGAACACTGCTTCATAAAGCTTTTCCTGCTTAAAATTTCGGGATCCTCAATTTGCTGAAGCAATGTATGCTTTATTTGGGTGTGAAATGGTTTGAGATCGAGATTGGTTGGAAGATTTCTGGTTTATTATTCGACTGAAGTTAGTTTCTGGGCTATTGTACCTCATTGCTGGGTTTCAAAATTGGTTTTCTGGTTCATTTCTTATTGCTGAGTTCTGTTGTTGTTGTTGTTGTTTTGTGCTTTCACCTCTTTTCCTTTTGGCAATCTCTAGGTATGCCCTCAAAAACTTGCCATGGAACTGAATATTGACTAGCATGTATGAAGATCTGGAAATTCAAGTTGAAGCTTAAATGGAAACATTGAATTTTTGATGTAATTACTATTGGTTACTACCTTTATATGCAATTAAATGCTTCAGTTTTGTGGTAGTCCAGTTTCTGGTTCATGTTGGTTTGTTTACTCATGTTAGAATGGTTTAGTTGTTTAGATTAAATGTGTAATTTCAAAGTATGGGGATACTGTGACAGTATTTGAATCCTATTTGTATGAACGAACTGTTAAACATTTTTGTAAGGGGAAACTGCTTGAAGGTGTCGATAGTTGTCTTGGTTTGAAATCAAGGTTTATTGTATTGAGTGGTGTCCATGACTCTGCTTTGCACTCTGAAAGGCGTCATGGTACTGTATTTAGTTAAAGTAGTTTTTTGGTCTATGTCAGTTCCAATCCCATATGTTTGTTTGTAGGAAGTTAGTTTAAGAAAATTTAAAATGCAAGCATGAACATTTCGTCAATTATGGTATCAGCATGGTTTCAGTAAAGAGGGTAATATGTTACAGGTTCTCGGGCTTGTCTCATGAGCCCAATGACTTGGGTTGTTATCGTAAGGCCCTTCACTTAGTAAATTTGACCCAAAAATGCAGGCTGGGATGAAATTGCAAGTTCATGTTAGTTAACTTGTACTTGCATATTGGAATTTAGAGATGGAATTGTTGATACAATAGCGTGTCTCGATTAGATTTGCATTTTGATAATGTTTATGCCAGCAATTGATTTTGTCTGAAATCGGGGCTTAAGTAAGTCCAATAAGGGAATTAACATTTGTTTTGACTGCATGGTCTAAACCAGAAGACATGGGCCAGTGGGGTTATATACTCTTGCATTCTTGACTCCTTCTTTGCAGTTGATACTTGGGCCTCAATTTAGGCCCAAACTTTGAAAGATGAAGTACAAATAGCCTTATAATTAATAAGTTGGGTTTGAGCATTGACTTAAAAGCAGCCAATAGTTTTCTTCAAATTTCATTTAGTTGGTTTGGTTAGTGAGAGTGCGCCATCTTAAACAAGAATAGCTTATGGCCCACATGTACTAGTTTATAAACGCTTTAATTAGAATAGATTGAGGTGCGCCTTGCTTAACAAAAGTGACAATTGCATGGCCCTCATTTTAACTAACTTCGTTTCGATCCTTAGAATTCGAGGTACGCCATTTAGCAAATTTCCATGGTCCTCGTAAAGTTGCAAATTCGTAATTGCTTTAGGCGCGTTATTTTAATAAATTACCTTCCTAAACTCGGGTGCACATTTATGTGACTCAAATCCAAATCTCAACAACGTCAGATAAAATATGTCGAGAGCCGCGGGTGCATTTATGTGACGTGGTTCAAGACATATTTTAAATGACGCTGCAATCTTCCTTAAAAGTAATTCAAAGCGGCATAAAGTTAAAATTTGCACATAGGTTCATAATTGTTTAAAATCAGATAATTAAGCTGAATATAACAGTTGAGCGACCGTGCTAGAACCACGGAACTTGTGAATGCCTAACACCTTCTCCCGGGTTAACAAAATTCCTTACCCGAATTTCTGGTTCGCGGACTGTTAAACAGAGTCAATCTTTTCCTCGATTCGGGATTGGAACTGGTGACTTGGGACACCATAAATCTCTCAAGTGACGACTCTGAATCTTTTAATAATAAATCCCGTTTCGATTGTCACTTAAATTGGAAAAACTCCCTTATATACTCCCTTTCGGAGGTGTAGGAAAAGGAGGTGTGACACATACATAAACTTAAGTACAGTAATTGCTTATGCTATGGAAATGGTCTATTTGAATCAAGGATGCAAACATTAAAATTTCTAAGTGAAAAACAAAAAGTGCTTAAGATCAACATATTCTTATCCCTCAAGGAAAAAAAAAGAGAGGAGGAAAAAGCGGTTTCTGGCTTTCATATTCTAACTTTTTTTAAAAAAATCTTTCATATTTTAACTTGACCAATACTGGTGCAATGATAGTGAATTTGCAGGTAAAAGAGAAGGCCGAGTGAGATTTTCTGGCTATTTTAAAAACTAAGTAGTAAAATATATTACTAGCTTTTAAAATATATAGTGACACATGTTGGTATGAAATTTTCCTTATTCTTTTTCTTGAATGTGTTCTCAGCTGCTCTTTTTTCTATTTGCTCTTTACATATTACCCGTAGAAATTGAATTTGTTTTTTTTTTCCATAGTTTTTAAGATAGACGAAAAGGGATATATATATATATATATATATATATAACCGAACCCAGTCATGTTTATATGATTTTCATATACGTAGTACGAAGACATTATATCTTTTTTCTTAATACAAGAAAAAGGCGATGAAGGAATATCAGAAGTTTGTAAAAAGAAAATAACTAATAAAAAGTGCATCTTCAGGGAGTATTTAATTTTTATTACCACCCTAGCCAATCAAAGTGGAAATTCCCCAATACTTCTGTCCCATTACGATTAAATTTCTAATTTCAACAGGATGAATGATTACCTATAAACATGACAATTTGTTTTTCTATTTTAATTTATAAACACGACCATTCGCTTAGGTGAAGATGCAAATTAACTTTGTCCAAGATATATTTTTTTTTAATTCTCGGTCAGAGGTTTCTGAATATCATACACTAGATAATTATTATGGATCATTATCACCATGTTTCTTTCTCTCACATGAAAAGTTGTACATCATACATAACCTCTCCCTTAACTTATCTTTTGTTGTTTTCTTTTTCTCTTTATTATTCTAAATATTATTCTTATCGAAAGCAACAATAATTAAATCGTATTTTTACCACCCCCTCCCCCCAACCAATCTCTTGATAAAAATATTCGCTATATTTTATACCCTTACTATGTAATACTTTTCTTTTGTGACAATAGCTGCATTTGCCACTTTCTCTCTCTTCCTTCTCCATTTCTTCTCTGTTCCCTCTTTAGTTTTCTATTCGTTCCTAGGGTTGAAGTTCTTCCGTTTTTTTCATAAAATATATATTCACTTGAAAAAAAAGTATATTTTTCTCATGGGTATTCTTTGAGTTTTAATTTTGCTTATTATTAATCATATCATATATCATACTTTATTGTAGCTTTGTTTTCTGTTCACTACTTTTGTTTTTGTTATCTGTTGTTGTTTATGGCTGGTTTAGACTTAGGTTCAGCTTCTCATCGTTTTCTTCCTCATCATCTCCAAAGACCACACGATTCCGAAGATGATGAAAACAATCGGAATAATCAATTTTCCGATGAGAACAACAACAACAACGATATCTCTTCTCATCAACAGGGTGGCGACGTTGTCGGACGTAGGCCAAGAGGTCGTCCACCTGGTTCGAAAAACAAGCCAAAGCCCCCAGTGATCATCACTAGAGAAAGCGCGAACGCGCTTCGCGCACATATTTTGGAAGTGAGCAGTGGGCATGATGTGTTTGAATCAGTTGCTACTTATGCAAGAAAAAGGCAAAGAGGAATTTGTATACTAAGTGGGAGCGGTACGGTTAATAACGTCACCATACGGCAACCAGCGGCTGCCGGTTCAGTGGTGACGTTACATGGTAGGTTTGAGATATTATCATTATCAGGATCTTTTTTGCCACCACCAGCACCACCAGGAGCAACTAGCTTAACTATATATTTAGCTGGTGGACAAGGTCAAGTTGTTGGTGGAAATGTTGTGGGCGCGTTAATTGCTTCTGGTCCAGTTATAGTTATTGCTTCTTCTTTCACTAATGTTGCTTATGAGAGATTGCCTTTAGATGAAGAGAATGAGTCAATTCAGATGCAACAAGGAGTGTCACAACCATCTGGTGGAAGTGGAAGTGGTAATTTTGCTGATCCAACAATTGGACTTCCTTTTCTTAATTTGCCACTGAATATGTCACCAAATGGTCAACTTCCAATGGAAAGTGGAGGAGGAGGAGGAGGAGGATGGAATGGAAACTCAGCAAACAGGCCACAATATTAGGTCAGGGTTTTTTTCCAAGAATTTTTACATTTTGATGATGAAAAGATTCCCGAAAAATCAATGGATATTATTTGTACATTATTAAGCTTGGTTTAATTTCTAGCTCCGTTGACTGTTTGGAAAATATATCCTTTTGATTTTGTGAAATTTTCCTTTTTTCTTCTTGTTTGTGTGCTTAATTTGTTGGTACTTCTAAGCAGTAGATTAGAAATCTTTCTTGTTTTTTGAGGGTTAATCTATCTTTTTCATTTTTATCTTTGCAAACTAAGTCTGCTATGACCATTTCTTTTAGCAACTTGTTCGGCCATGGAATAATAAGATAATCCATGTTTTGGTTATCCAAGGAAAAAAGGAAGTTATTAAAATAACTTGTTGTTTATTATCTTCTCATGGCTATAAAATTTAATTATTATTCTTAGACTTTTTTCTAATGGCTATAAAAGATGAGTATTAATTTAAGGATACTTTAGGTTTCTCGATCGAACATATATAAATCCTGTCAAATCTAGTGGTTTTATCAAACTAATGTTAAAAAAGGAGAATCATATATAAATATAAATGTTCTTGCTAGATCTGATGCACATCAATTCTTCTGGTTCTCAGGAAATTTCCAAAAAAAAAATAAAGGGAAAAAGTTCCAAGGTTGAGTGAAATATTAAGTAATGAACCTGATTGCAAGTTGTTCAATAGAATAATAACCCAAATATTCTATCGTTCTTTCTTTTTCTTAAGTTAAGAAGCCAAACTTTTTACTGGTTTTATCCTGCTATGGAAATTTGTGAACTTTTATATAATAGATATCATTGGAGCCATTCACTAATTAACCATAAAAACATTACATTTGATGCTCAATCGCTATAGATGATCTCAAAGTCCTCTACTTTACTTTATTGTTAGGCCAATCTCTTTTCAGCCTAACTCAGCTAATATAGAACTAGAGAAAATAACCCGTCCTTTCATCCTTCTAGTACTTCTTTTTGCCAGCAAATCTTGTATAATCCAGTTTGGCTAATTGGCTTAGACCTTTGATGTGAAAGTATCTCTTAGTTGACAGTAGAAAAATGTGAAAAATTCAATCATATAAACTGATAGGATATATAAAGTATGTACTGCTGAACCGTGATTCAGGAAATAAAGTTTATGGGTTCGAGTACGGGATTCTACCCCAACCCATTTGATTTGGTGGGTTTGAAATCAATTGTTTATACTTATTTAGTGATTTTTTAAATACATATATAAGATATATCCAACAATTATTGGGTTCGAATGAACTCATACATTACACTTCCGCCCTTGAGAAGTGTTCTTGGAATGTTTAGAAAGAGCAACGAGCATGTTAGTAAATCCAAGCTGAAAAGTTAGGTTCGTAGTGAATTAGCCTTATGTAATTCTCCCTTTTTCACTTATCAAAAAAAAAAAAAAAAAAGTCCCTTTTCCTTTTTTGTGTTTGATTTTTTAAATTCAAGAGATAACTCTAATTACATGTTGATATGCATTAGAACGAATGGAGTGATATCCTGTGCACTATGTGTTATAGTAATATTATGATTCGTAGTTGCTCTTGCAAAAGTAGTTCCTAATTTGTCCGTCTTCAGTGCTTCTAAAACACAAGAGAAACTCTTGTTATACGCATCCTGCAATTCCTTGGTTTGCCAAAAGAAGTGCTACTTTGTTTTGCTCCCCGAACGTGTGTTGAATCAGGATCTTCTAGCTAGCTGACCAATAACTTGCAATCTGAAATATATTCTCCCGTTTTTAATGTAGTGTGGCAACTCCAGATACAAGGCTAAAAACTATTCTTCATCACTCTAAGAAAAGACATGCTATTCCTCTTAGACACCTAAACCATGTGGATGTTTAAAATGTGTGTCATAATTTACCTAGATATCTAGTAGGTTTCTTCTTTAAATACGTATAAGTTGTTCTCATTTAGGTTGGCATTTTTGCTCCAATGTTAACACCCTTTCATGTGTTCTATTAGAGTGTTGACTATGTAAGTCCTAAATTGCCTCTCAGATTTTAATGCTATGGCAGTGATGTTTGATGAAAACTTATGTTAGTTGAGTTGTAATGTTGCGGTTACTAATATACAACGGACACAATGACAGAAAAGAAAAACATCTGCGCGATTTAACTATCCTGAGGGCTACTTGTTTCTTCATTATACTAAAATTCTTACAAAGATAAACTAATACGTCTACATATTGTTTGATATGTGTTATCTCATTCACATATTAGGCGAAAAGTAAAGAGAAAAAAAGAAGAAGTTATGCCTACGTATACTCTCTTTCTTTGCCACTCTTAATTTTCTGCAGCTGATGCATATTTTTAATGAATTTATAAAATAATTAAAAATAAGTAATTAATACCGTGGTATAATAGGAAAAAAGAAATTGTCTTCTCTTGATATGCTAAAAGTGACAAGTAAAGTGAAAATTTATTTTTATAACATTGGACAAGTAAAAGTGAATGAAAGGAGTACATGGCAGCAATATTGGATGATGTTCCAATATAATTACTGCCCTGCGCTGTCCACAATAAATGATCATTTTACCTTTTTATTTTGGTTCAAAATAAGTGTCCATTTACCTAATCAAGAAGGAATTAATTTTATATTTTCAAAATTTTTCCTTAGTTATATTTCAATGTGTCAATGTAACAATTAATTAAGATTAATTTAATAAATACATTATTTTTTTCTAGGAGTTCGTATTTCCTTAATGGGTGTGCCAAAGATAAAATGGTCACTTATTGTGAACCGGGGAATAACGATTATATTGGTTCCCGTTTTACACTATCTACGACAATAATAAGTGAGGTATATACTTAACCGAAGAAGTTTGCATACATGAATTATAGATTTTCTTATACGGGAATTCAGAAGATCTAATTAGGTTTCAATTGTGACTTTTTGGCCATTGAATGTAACTGGCAAAGGATACATAGTATGGTATAAACTTATAGGGTTAATAAAAGAAGACGGAAGATACAACTAGGTTTCAATTGCGACTTTTTGGCCGTTAAATTTAACACGCTAAGGATATATAATTGGCATAAACTTACTTATACGTTAGTAAAAGAAGACGGAAGATCTAATTAGGTTTAAATTGTGATCTTTTAGCCATTAAGCTCATGAAGTCGCAAAAGCTACATTACGGCGTAGATTTTCTTATATGGTGAATAAAAGGAAAATAAAAAATTTAACTAGGTTTTAATTGTGACCTATTAATCGTCAGATTTAACTCGCGAAAACTGTTGTATGTACAAATTGACTTTCTTAATAGATCAATAAATGAAGATAGAATGTATTGGGAAATTACGTGAAAAGAAGAGATGGCCTAACCTAATGCCAAGGCGACTTATTTTTCTCTTGACGGCGAATCTTGATTGACTGACACTAAAAATTGATACGGTGAAAGAAGATTCAACTAGGTTTAAATTGTGACGTTTTAACGATTAAGTTAAATTTAACCCGCTAAAATTATATAATGACATAAACTCAATGAAGTTGTTATTCCTTCTTCAGTTAAGAAGCTAAACTTTTTACTGGTTTTATCCTGCTATGGAAATTTGTGAACTTTTATACTAATAGATATCATTGGAGCCATTCACTATTAACCATGAAAACATTTCATTTGATGCTCAATCTCTATAGATGATCTCAAAGTCCTCTACTTTACTTTATTCTTAGGCAATCTCTTTTCAGCCTAACTCAGCTAATAAAGAACTAGAGAAAATAACCGGCCCTTTCATCCTTATAGTACTGCTTTTTGTCAGCAAATCTTGTATAATCTAGTTTGGCTAATTGGCTTAGACCTTTGATGTGAAAGTGTCTCTTAGTTGACAGTGGAACAATTTGAAAAATTCAATCATATAAATTGATTGGATAAAGTTTGGGATTCAGGAAATGAAGTTTATGGGTTCAAGTATGAGATTCTACCACAACCCATTTGATTTGTTGGGTTTGAAAGGAATACATTTCGAGTCTCAGCAATTAGGAGCCCACCTAGAGAACAAGGGAACACAATTCAAGTTTCAGCAATTAGGAGCCCACCTGGAGAACAAGGGAATACATTTCGAGTCTCAGCAATCAGGAGTCCACCTGGAGAACAAGGGAATACAATTCAAATTTCAAATAGTCAGGAGCCCGCCTGGAGAACGAAGGGAAGAAGCAATTCAAATTTCAAATAATCAGGAGCCCGTCTGGGAAACAGAGGAAAGGAAACAATAGTCAAAGGAAGACATTTAAGAGGTTCAGCAATCAGGTGCCCGCCTGGAGAAGAAGGGAAAGCATTTCAAAGAATACCATTCAAGTCAGCCACAAAAGAACTTATGAGGAAAATACAAGTCAACGAGGCAACATCAGTCACAAGATCAAGTTTGGAAATAAATCTTTGTAAAGCATAGATTATAGCTTAGTCTAGCTTCTTCATTTTTGTCATGGTGTCATAAGGAGGTCAGTAGGCAGTATCAGCAGCAGCAACAACAGTAACAGTAAAATCGCAGCTTCATGGTAGTCCCAACTACCAAAACTTCCCGAACTACATTTGTACTTAATTAGTAATTTTTTGCCCACATATATAAGATATATTGATATATCCCATATTTTCGTACGTAAAAGTACACCGTAAGTCAATTGATGTAAGCTTAGAAATGAGATCATCTTTAAAAGTACATAAAGTAAGTTAATCATGTTACCTTGGAGGTTACAAATATTTAAGATCATGAACTACAAGTACCAAGAGGGTTGAAAGACTTAGAAGCTAAACTACTTGAAGAAAATTAAGTTTCATCGAAAGTTGACAAGTTGGGAATGTTATAACATGTACTTTTGGGGTGAGACTAGGGTTCTTAACATGATAAGGATGTTATTTTATGAGTTATTTTAGTCGTACGATAGTTGTGTGTTATATTTTGAAGTCAAGCGAGTTGTGAAGCTGCAAAGATCATCACAAGTTACATTCATAATATGCTGAAAATTATGGAAAATGTATCCGAGCTTTTCTCCCCATATACTTGGAATTGCGAGATAATCTAGCTACCAAATTAAAGATCTACGAGCCGAGTTTCTAACACACTAAATAATTTGTCGATACGATATCGGGGTAGAGAGATATTTGCATTTTTGCGAGACCACGCAAGCAACT